TATGGTGGATCGATTTTTAACCGATTATGGCAGGTTATCGGTTTTGACAGGATCGGTTTTGAGAGGGTCAACTGTATGTAAATTAAATAGTTAATTTTGTAAACTACAAAAATTCTAATAAAAAAGAAAATAATAAAGATTTTATAAAAAAATTTTTTTTTAAGTTTAATTTTTTTAAAAATAGTTTAATATACTATACAAGTTTAATTAGTAAAAAAAATATAGAGATGTAACAACTTAGTATAGTAGTCTAGTTATCACCCTCTCCAAGTAGCAGGTCTAGAGTTCAAATTCTACTGGTGATGATATTTGAAAAATAGGCCTGTTTTTGGTTGATGGCTATGCTTACCGGTTGAATCTAGAACTAAAATTTGTAACTTCAGTTACACTATCTTGTAATGAGAGCTTTGGCACAATAAATTCGAAGAACTGACATAACCAAAAACCTATTTGGAAAGTCCTGAATCTGAATGTAATAGTAATCTTTAATGGTATTACAGGAGGGCTGAATTCGAACTAGGGCCCGAAATTAGAGAATCGAGCAACTAGGTCCTATGGCGGAAGACACACCAGCTGAATTGCTAGATTGTCGCACCAGAGGAAAAGGGCATATGCTTCAAACATATAAACCAAGGGGAGAGTATTCTTCAGGTATCTAAAGCCTAGGCAGACCAACCCTTCCGGGTTGCTAGCTAGAAGTAAAGGAGAGACCAATAGAGAATCCAGATAAAGAGACAGTTTCAAGTGTAGATATTGGGGCTATTGTGAACTATTAAGGGCAATGAATACATAATAGAAAACTAATTAGAAAGGTTGTGGCTTGAGATACAGATTAGGTTACGACAGTGCCCTAAAAGGTAGCTTAAGATATGAACTCAGTGTCAGCAGTACAACAGATACTAACTAGAAAGATATTATAGAACATGCAGGTGAATGCATGTGTGAAAATATATACCACTCTGTTGGGCTTATCTTTAAGAATAGTAAAGTGTCCTAAGTTGGCTATTTATGTAGTGGTGTCACAAAATCTACATTTGAATAGTGAGTTACACTTGTGTTAAAATAGGTGTTAGACCAAATATATTAAGATCAGAAGGTTTAAATGGATACCCCCTAGTTAGGGTACAGGTATAGCAGATAGTGTAAAACCTTTGAGCAGACTACTTAAATTAGACACTCAAAAGGTGCACGTGTAGCTTGATGTACCTTCATCTAAATGTATAGTGTTTGAACTCGACTTAATAAAAATCACCAACCAAGAAGGTCTCCTTTAATAATAATAAAAAAAAAAAAAAAAGTAAAAAAAATATTATTTTTTAAATTGAAGTAGATTAACACTTTAATCAACAGTATTCTACTAGGTAATGTGTAGTATTGTGTGTTCGGAGCAGGGTTGCAGGTGGTAAATTTACCATGGTAAAATTATGATAATTTACCAGATAATTTACCAAAGATGTGGTAAATTTACTTTTATATACTTTTTGTCTATGTAATTTGATTGGCCAAAAAAATTTTTTAATCATCGATTTTATATTACATAATAATAACTAAAGATAAATTTTTAAAAATTACGGTAAACCAACAACCCACTACATGTAAGTGATCATCATGTATTCAAGGACGGACAGAATTTTCATGTGATATAAATAATCACCAGCTGTCGTAAAAACATAATTCACTGCTTCGCTCCGGACAATAACAAATTTTATTTTATTTAAAAATTAAAATTTCGGTTTAAATTAAGGCTTTTTGGAATCTTTAAAGCCAAAAGCGATATTTGTAAAGAGTGATTATTTTGGTTTATTTTGGATAACTATATACCATACTATGCGAATTAAAAACCCCTATTATACGTAGCACCCTTCGCTGATTACCGGTATTTTGATTGGATCAATATCACGTGATAGAATTCTTCCTGACATAGATTTCAACCGTAGTTATTTACGTAAAGCACTCAACCACTGGTTTCTTGACAATAATGGCCGAAACTATCTTGGGCTCCACAGCCCGCCAACGTTTAGAACCTTACCTTCTTCTTTCTAAGTCTGCCAAGGGAGGAGCATGTGTTCAACTGATTAAAGACGTTCTTGCAGCCCCAGGGGTTTACGTATTTGCAGAGCTGTTAACTATGCCTAATGTTGCTGAGGTATTAGGATATTATATTTTCATAAGTGGTTCTAAATAACAGTCTCGCACATGCAACGGTTCATTTTATTATGTCCGAATAATATCTCTAAATAAAATCATTATTTTACTTTCAGCTTGAAAATAATGAACAATATCAATCATACTATACATTGCTAAAGCTGTTCTCATATGGAACATATAAGGATTATAAAGGTATTTAAAATATAAATTGATTTATACCATTAACAAATTTATTTTTTTCAAAGTTATCGATGACTTTATCTCATTTATCAGAAAGCATTTCACAATTACCTTCATTGGATCAAGCTCAACTTAACAAATTAAAATATTTGTCGATTGTCTCCTTGTCCGAGAAATCAAGAGTATTTAATTCATTCGATTAAACGTCTTAAACAGATATTTCAGTTGATAACATCATTTTTATCAATTTTTAGACTATTCCTTATGATACCCTTTTGGAATATCTTGATATACCTAATGTACGTGAACTTGAGGACCTAATTATAGAGGCGATCTATCAGGATGTCATCAAAGGTAAATTAGATCAAAAGAGGAAACAACTTGAAATAGAATATACTATGGGTAGAGATTTGCGACCGGGACAAATTGATCAAATGTTACGAACTTTAAGTGAATGGTGAGTATCATATAACTATAAAATTTTAAGTTAAAAGGTGAGACTAAATTATTATTGGAAATTATCACTCGTAAATAAGGTCTCAAACGTCGGAAGAAATTTTGAAGGCCATCGACGCCAAAATTATACAGGTTCGTGATGTAGCTGTTCAAAACAAAAAGCAAAGGGAGGAATATGAGAAAGAGGTAGAACGCCTTCGAAAGGAAGTTAAATCAAGCTCAAAGAATGCAGATCATATGGAAATCATGAGTGGATCGATTGACCAATATAGTAGCATGGATTATCATGATGAAAATATTAAAGGTGGAGGGCGAACAGGAAAAAGGTAAGATATTGTTTCACAATTCTATTTATTATGCACGTTAGTACCTTCTCAAGATATAGAGACTTGGGGAGAGATTTTTTGAATGTCCTTTATTTGATCCAATTTTTCGTGGCAAATGGTTTTATATATACTCGTTCCTCCGTGAATGACGCTGAAATGTGTAAACAGCAGGAAACGTAATCGAAGACATTGAAACCAAGCATACGTTTCCATTTGTCCTTTTTTTCTTTAATATCCCTATCTTTCATCTAGGGGCTCAAAAAGGTTCTTGTCTAGCCGAAGATAAATACAATCGACTCTCTTTATGCCGAATCATACCTATAGCGAACTAAAAGATTCAGAACAAATAACATATTTATTTACACTGGATACACCGACTTTATATAATAAATTTGCTATACCGCATCCGAACCTAATTGGGTCAGTACATATAGCCTATCATATATATATAAATACCGTATATTTTTATATGACAATTAGATAAACGTTTAGAATCTACTTATATAAAGATTATATAGGTTGTTACCCGTGACCTCCCATCCTGTGGCAAAAAAAAGTGTCTACGTTTCTAATATCCAGTCAAATTTCAAAATGTGTATCATAAAGGTTATATAAAAATTTAAGTCCTAAGATTAGGTTTATAATAATAAAGCTTTGCGCATTAGTTATTGTTCATGATAAATAGTTGTGTGCGAGTATTAATACTTATGATAAAAATCATTTTTTTATATCACGTAAAATGAGCCATATTATGTAAGGCTCTCATTACAATCTTTTTTAGATAATTTAATGGTCTATAATTGAATTGTCGAACAATGCAGAATTCGTTATATCAACAAAGTCAGGATTGGAAAAATAGTATTTCTTAAATTTGAGATAACACTAATTGAAGCTGCGGATCTCGGTCTTGACCAAAATCACATGAAAGAATTTTTTTTCTTCTGTAATCATTATATTATTGGTCGGATGTAATGTATAAATAGATTAAATTTTCGACCTGATTTTATATATCGATATCAGAAAGCTTTTACTCAAGTGTAATGGGTAAGTTCAATGATTTAATCGAATAAATAAGTTTATATATAATAATTAGTTTTCATTTTTTTTTAGCAAAAAGCAAGAATCATACTAATCACAATCAAAGTAAGTTGTTGGCGTTGTTTTCATTTATAACCTTTTCTTACCTAATTTAATTTTTCATAAGACCGCAAGGCCCACCGAAATGGTATTAAAAAGCCTAAAACATACCGATATCCATCTCTGAAAGGAGTATGTTATTATAGTATTTATTGATCATTTCGTCCATTCATTAGTTATTTTAATAAATTATATCGTTCCTGAATTATTTTATCAGGTTGATCCAAAATTTCTTCGTAATCAGCGTTATGCTAAGAAAGTAAGAAAATAAAATAAAATAAATTGTGCAAATTAGTTATTTATTATACTAACTTTTATGGTTTTCTTTGAAGGGTACATACCAAGCTCTGAAAGAAGCAAAAGCCGCTGCATAGCTAATATATAAATCAAATTTAATAGTATATATTCAAGTAGCTTTAATAAGATCTACCAACTATGTATTTAGTTTTTAAACTTTTTTAAATTTTATTAGAAAAATCCGATTTTTTTTTTTAAAAAAAAATGATTTAAAGATTTTTGCATTAATATAAAAAAATTAAAAAAAAAATATCGTATTTATGCATTATATTAATATAATAATAACTTGATGTAACTAGGCTAGGGTTGTTAAATGGAGTACTCCAAGCTATAATAAAACATATAAACCACTCCAGTTTTAAACTAATGGTTTATATGTTTTATTATAGCTTGGAGTACTCCATTAACAACCCTAGACTAGGCTCTCGCACTATCCAAAACACAGTAATTATCCGAGCTTTCAACTAATCTGTTTGAAAATTTTTTCTAACTCAAAACATTGTTTAATATAATGTACCATACAGCAAAGAAGATAATAAGACTATTACAAAGAGACCTCTCTAAATGCACTCTCTATAAATGCACTCTCTATGTAAAATCTCTTTAAATGCACAGTATAGTCTGGTCCCAGCTTATAATAGCACTATATATTTTGCTCTCTATAAATGCACGCCCTCTCTATAAGTGCACATTTTTGAAATTTTTTACTATAGTCCCGAGGGGGTGCATTTGGAGAGGTCTCTCTGTAGTACTTTAAAAAACAAAATCTAATGAACAAGCTACTCACAAAATAACCAATTACATATACTGTATAATAAAATCCAAATTTCTAGATACAAAACCTGATAAAATAGTATCACACTTTATACTGTATATACAGTATATAACAGTATAAATAATACTTTTAAAGTATTTAGATATAACTCACAAAAGTTAAATATCTAAATATCACTATTTATAGAATTCAATATACTGTATACATCTTATATACTATAGTAAGCTTTATTATAAACTATGAGATTTTGATCTTTAGTAATAGATAAAGCAAGCTTAGATTTAGTTTTTTAAAATAGTACAGTAGATACCAGGGATGGTAAATAACCTTCAAATGACCTCAAATGACCCAATTTTATTATGAATTTTAGTCTGAAATAACCTAGGTCATTTGAAAAAAAGGCAATTTTACCATTCCTGGTAGATACAGTATACAGTATGATCAGTGTTGGGCTGGATATTGGACATAGACATTGGACTTACTGTATCCAATCCATTGGATCAAAAAGTATTGGACAATAATATATAAATCAGCATAGTTATTATTGGACTAGACATACAAGTCCAATGTCCAGTTCAGTCCAATAGCATAAAAATAGTTGGACATAGGTATGTCCAGTGCCAACACTGAAAATTTAATAAAAAGCTACAGTAGAACAAGATCTTTTTTTTTTTTAAAAAAAGATACTGTATTATACATTACAACTTCAATAAATGCGCGGTACTGTATTATACATTACAACTTCAATAAATGCGCGATACAATAAAACATTAATATACTATATATTGTGTTATTGACTAAATTTAGGACTTTTTAAAACCTCTAGATTTTTCAGTGTTCTGATAAAAAAATCATCTCATGAATCCTTTTATTTGTAACACTTCTAAGATCCAAGATCTCGCTAACGCAAGATACTGTATTAGATCTTATAGAAGTTTGTTTCATCTGATTGGCTGATCAATGTAGTAGTAAGGCGAATGTGAAAAATGCGTGTAACAATACTTTAAGAAAATTCAGAAGATTGCTACAGTCAATACTGCAATAGCGGGTTATATTTTGCTTAGCCCTTATATATGAAAATGTTTTCTCGGATTCGAGAATATCTAGTACTCAAAAATTATCAATATGAGCTTACTACTTCTTTATATATGCTTGAGCCTTGGGAAAAAGCATTATTCAGTTAAGTTTCAAATCTCTACGAAATTCCTAAACATGCCTTAATAACATTTGCTTTTTCTTTAAATATACAGACTCACTTGTTATTGTGGGACTAGGACTTCTTTCATATACCACAATTTTTTATTTACCTGAACACCTTACTTATGTTGCTACCAGATTTGCGGAATACATTTCATTTTATTGAGAAATCAGAAAACCATGCGCCTAGCGTACATTTTCGATGTCCAAGTGTGTCCAAAGCATGTCCAAGCTTCAAAAAATATATGATATAAGCTTTTCATAGTGCTAAATATTTTTATTCGGAAAATTAAAATAAGTTATATATCGACATTACAGTAATAAAAAAATTTAGAATGATTTTTAATTTATTTTTTGTCCAAAAATATCCAAAGCTGTCCCGTGACAACACTAGCCTAGACCTATTTATAACATTAGCAAATAAATGGAAAGTTAACTATTTCAATCCTATATAAGTATAGTGTAACTAAAAATAATTTTATCAAGTGTATATATTATTATATTATAAAGTCAAGTGAGTAAATAATACTCCATAATAATCTCATGAATAATTTTTTTCTATTAAAGAGACCTCTCAAAATGCATTACTTCCTTAAATACTCAATTTTTGACCCAAATATATGCTATTAACCTCCATATATATATATATTGTCCCTAAATACATTTGTTAAGTAGATATGTAATAACCAAATTTTAGATGCTTATAACTTTTTATACAATATAACAATATTTTAAACTTTAATCATAGTTGCACAGAAGTTCATTGGATAATTTTCTAATATTTTGTATGAAAAGGTTATATAAAAAATATTTAAGTATTCAACTTTATAAATAGTGATTGTCAGCATTTCAAAAGTTATGTTTCAAATTTATCACTATTTAGAGAATTATATAATTATATTTAATATATAATTCTAATATAAAAAATTTATTTATTTAATGTCTGTACAAATCAAGTTAAACAATATCACTTCACCCTAGCAATGCTATGTAGCATTTCCTCTTTTGTAATTAAATGACATGTTTTTTCAATTAAACCTAATAATGAATTAATATTATTTGACCAGTCGTTAAGTACTTGGTTTGCATCTTTGGGAGATGCAAAAGAAACTATTCCCGCAGGCCGATCGATTTTGGCATAAATAGTCTTTGAAACAACGAGCTTGGAAAGAAATTCTTCAGTATCCTGTAAATAAAAACAATGTAAACAACAGAAATTTGTAAGATACTTAACGAGATAAACAAACTTCAGAAACTTAAATATCTTAATATGCAGTAAGTAACTGCATAGTAACGACGTAGTAATTACATAATTACTAATTTAATCGTAACTACATAGCTATTATGCAGTTACTGCGCATTAAGAGATTCAAAGTTTTTGTATAGAAAATATCATTACCTCTTCGTTAAGATCTAACAATTGTGTTAATCTTTTTGTTCTGACACGTGTGTAATATTTGGCGACCACGCGAATATTCTAAAAGCAAATACCGCATTAATAGATTATATAATTATCCGATAAACCAGAATAGCAGATATAACACTTACATGCTCGATCACACGTTTATGTAACTCTTGCCAACGCTTCTCACCAGCCTCATCACCCAACGCAAAGACAGGAGTTTGTCTTAATGCAGTTCCGTATAATTCTTGAATACGAGGCCATCGCATCAATTCAGGAGTTATGAAATGTTTAGCAAGTTCGCTAATAATTAAAATCAATAATATAGATTAGAACGAATATTGGATTATTATTATTATTTTCTTAGTAATTAAATAAATATATTACTAGTGCAAAGAAAGCTTAATAAGATTTGGATCTTCATATATACGATGCAATAGATCGTGTTGCTCGTTATCATAAGGTGAAAGCACAATAAAATAAATAACATTTTGTAAAACCTAAAAATACAAAGTTAATAAAAGTTCAATCAGTAATATAAATAATATTATAAGTTCGTTCTTACTTCTTTCCATTTAGTTTCATCTTCTTTGATCGAAGGAGTATCGTATACATTACGCCAATATTTGCAAACGTTTAGATATTGTTCTTCGTGTAATGCGTGTTGAATCATTAACTCGTAATAACGGAGTTTCAAATCCTGAAATAAGGCATTAATGTAAATGATGTAAAATGATATGATTTAATAAATATAAATAAATATTCATACCTGTTGCTCAACATCAGTGAAAAATTTGGTGTTGATTTTCTTACTGATGATTAGCATTCGTGTGTAATCTCTCTTGGCAAGGGTTAAACGCATTTGTTCCAATATGAAATCAGTTTTTTCCCTTTTTTCCATTGAACCAAATGTTTCAACCTATGAATAAATCGTAAAAAAAATGGAGACATATAAAAATAGTATAACGAAAGAGCAATAAAAAGTACCTGCAACTCTTGTAATATGTCTGCAGCTTCATTAATATTGCCCTCATCCTCTTTAATTTTTGATAACCAACGTGTTAAACGAGCACGTTCAACTTCAACATAGATCTATATTATAAAAAAGCAATATGTTTTATAATGCATTAACATCATCAACATAATATATGTATTAAATAGTCATTTCCTTACTTTTCCTTCTGTCACCGTGCGTAATGTGTCAATTAATTCCAATTTTGTTTCCTGATCAGGTGTGCTGTCAAGATATCCCATGGTTTCTTGTACCATCTTTGTGATAGCCTATTGATATGTAAGTAAAGTAAGAAAATGTATGAAACGATTTAAAATATTAATAGTAAAAGCTTAAATTACAAACTTGTTTCAATTGCCCATGCTTCTTTGAAAGCAATGTGATATATTCGTTCAACAATTTCCAATTTCCAGATTGATGGCATAATTTAACTATGTGAATTAAAACACGGGTGGAAGAGGAGAGATCCGCGGCCTACTAAGTGTTTAGATAAATCGTATGTAGTTTAACATTAAGTTATTCATAAGATTCGAAAGTAATACCTGTCGAGTTTGTTTTTCTAGCGCCAGCAACTGTTCCAGAGCTTGAGGCAAAAGCCCTTGCTATTTAAGGGTTAAAGAATTTTACTATTAAGCCTTCGTATCAAAGAAATTTCTATTGCACGTTAAAAACCTTAGCTAGCTTCTCAGTTTCTGGCAATTGCTCATCGACGGCTGAGGTGAAATCTTGTTCAGGTTTTTCCAACTTTCCTTCTGACATTGTTGAATGCAAATGCAAAGTCTTCGAGACTCGAAATATTTATAATTCACGATCTAATCAGGTTGGATCAGTCCGAGTAAGTTAATGATCAGATAGTTATAATCCGGACCAACATGACAAATATGCATACGTATATAACTCCTACAGGGAGATCCCCAAAATTCCGGGTCGGACGCTTCGGAACTCTTGCCGGAAGGGCCAGAGTTGATCAAT